CTCCCGATAAATATTTGTTATTAAAGCATCAACATTCACAGAACACTGTTATTTTTAACTAAAGCAAGCTGCTGCGTGCATGGTTAGGCAGAATGCCAGCAAAGAGCGCTGCATTTATAATCTCTAAAAGACATCTCAGTTCATCGCAATCTCACAAATCTCTGTTATAACACAATAAATATATGCATAATGGATCTTTCATAATGTCTACAATTCATGTGTTATAATGAGAGGATTAATGAGCACGCAAATTTCAGCATTGCATTGCTCAACGCTGCAAACACGTGTTATAGCCTAAATAGAAACTCTGCATATGCTTGCACCTGTTAATCGTTTATATTTTATATTAGTTCATGTTGCTTTTGTGCAATAGATGAATAACAATTTATTTGTTTTACATATTTTATGTTTAGATATTTCTATTTTGCGGGAGTCCCGTGAGTCATTTTATTTTCCCGCACCCCGCACACACACGAGTGTCTACCCGCCCGCACCAGCACTCGCCCATCTTCTCCCGCGCCACACTAAGCTGCGTCGGGTCTCGTGGGAGCAGGTCTCTAATCCACTGGCACTTGACTCGACAGTGCGTGTGCTACATCCTTTTTACAATCTCTAGATTATAAAACACTGCATTCTGTCAGCAATGTAACGCGGCAGTAACGTATAGAGACCTCGGCTTGTAACTATACTCCAATTACTATTTTGAAAATTATACCGCATTAAATTACTCCGTTACTAAAGAATGTAATCAAATTACAGTAACGCGTTACTAAGCAATGCGTTACTGCCCAACACTGGTCATTGAATCATTCATTCAAGAGATTCGTTCAAAGCTGCTGATTCATTCAGTAATGGAACAAGTGAAGAATTTCATTGAATCAAGAGTCATTGAATTATTCATTCAAATTCATTCAATCATTTTTTTTAAAAATAATTCACTCAAACTAATTTAACAATTTTGAATAGGCTGAGGCAATTAATATTTTGTCACAGCCTCTAGTAAATTACATGTTATTTTGCTTAGTTCATAATCGTGGGAGAATTGTGATCTCTATTTGAAAGAAACAAATTGTGATTTTATTTAATTTTATGTTTCAGGTCTCTTCTTAGACGACATCCTTCAGATTTTTGCTTTATTTTGTGAAAATTAAAAAACGCCTATAAGCTTTTGTATTTTACTACATGTTGCTTTGTATAGCTGATCTGTTTCCTTTTTCTCTCAGGTTTTGAAGTGTGAAGTGGAGCTCATGGCTAAAATGGCTAAAACCATTGATGGCTTCACTCAGAATCAGACCCGACTGGCTATCATCATTGATGGCCTGGATTCCTGTGAACAAGACAAAGTGCTACAGATGCTTGATACGGTGCGTGTGTGTTTACACTGCCATGCACAGCCCTGCATCAAACATCTCCCATATAACCAAATAATAGTATACAAATCTTTTTTACTGCCAGGATCGCATTTTCCGATGTATTCAACCAATGCCAAGAAGCTTTTGATGGCACAAGCCATCCATCTCCGCTGTAACATAACAGACTCCTTCTGTCTGAGCACACACGCTTCCTGCTCTTGACTAAATGGCCAAACAAGGTGCCTCATGTCCTCTCTGTGGGAAGAACAAGCCCATTCACCTCTCAAACATCTCATGGATGTGCAGCACTGCTCAGAGTTCAGGCTTGTTTAGCTCCAGAAGTTCAGATTCCTCTCTCCCAGCTGGACTAATGGAATTTCCTTCAGCTAAATGTCATTATTTGGGTATAATCCTCTTTTGTTGGCAGCCTGTTCACCGCTAATGAAATCTGCCATTTACCAGAGAGCCTGCAAAAACCCTCAAAGATTCCTTTGTGGCACAATTAGCCACATCTCTTATAAGTTCTGGTCTTTTTGTCTCGGATTTTGATAGGAATTAGCAAATTGGATTTTTCCTTCAAGTTTAATATTGTTCCAGTTGCTAAAGCTGATGTTCTATAAGCAAAATGACGGATATGAATGCAGATGGCATTTTTTGTGCCACAATTTAGTTGGCGTGGAGAAACGCAACGTCAGCAGATATCTCACAGTGATTGCTATGGTCTACAAATCAGTATCCTGTGACACTTCTACATATTACGGTGTCCTTCATTAGTCTGGAAAGTCCCGTCATTAAATGAGTACATGTCTGGGTGTGTGTAAATATATACAGAGTGGCTTGTGTGTAATCATACACATGATCCACGACATATAATTTGAGCTATAGGCCTGTGTAACATAGATAGTAATAATTCTATTAGACTAAGTAACAATTCATTCTGAGAGTGAAAGAGGAGAAAAATAGGCCACTTGTTTAGTATAGCACATTGATTTAGCATATCGTAACCAAAAAGCCTATCATAAATACTGTATTATGTTCTTATGATATCTAATGCATTAACTAAATGCTAAATGACTAAATGTAAATTAACTAATAATAACCGATGTGCTCTAACCACTAGGCTCCAACTTAGACCAGATTTTCCCGAATTAATAAAGAGGAAACATTCTTGTCTCTTCTGTTTGCAGGTTCGGGTGCTCTTCTCTAAAGGTCCCTTCATCTCAATCTTTGCCAGTGACCCTCATATCATCATCAAGGCCATAAACCAGAACCTCAACAGTGTGCTACGTGACTCCAACATCAACGGCCACGACTACATGCGAAACATCATCCACCTGCCCGTGTTCCTCAACAGCCGTGGCCTCAGCACTGCCAAGAGACTCTGCATTTCCACACCAGCCAATGTGGATCAGCTGAACTCTGATGGTCGGTATAGGCAGAATTCAGAATTCCAATATGCATATTTTTACATATAAATACTGCTGTAGTGAGGGGGAAGTACTTCATAGGACTGGACAGCTGGAATGAAAATTGGGACTCGGCGTTAAGATTAAAGAGAGTTTTCACCCAAAGTGTAAAATTCTGTTATGTACCCTCATGTCATTGTTTATAACTGTTTTTGTCCATACAGTGAAAGTTCCCACTGACTTTGATTTTGGTTAAGCAGAAGAAAGTAATTTGTACAGGTTTCAAATGGCTTGAGGGTGAGAAAATGTCATATTTTTGGGTGCCATCCTCTAAATTATTTTTTTTGTATTGCTAGATATTTATGGTGTTGATTTATTATATTTTATATTTTATTTAATTTTATTATTTTGTTTTAATTGTATTTTTATGAGATTTTATTTTGTTTTATCTTTATTTTTAATGTTATTTTATTTTAATTTAGTTTTTAATTTAATTTAATTTTATTTTATTTAATTTTATTTTATTTTTGTAACACCTCCATAGAACAAAATTTCTGATTTTTTTTTGTCAAGTACTTTTCTCTTGTGTACTAGCTATACAAAAATGCGTTAAAGGCTCTCAAAAACCTTAAAACTGAAAATTCAGTAATCATTTCTTCACCTTCATGTTGTTCGAAGCCTGTATGACTTTCTTTCTTTTGTGGAACAAAAACGAAGACATTTTAAAACATTTGAACATCTTACTGTTCTTTAATGCGTTTTATGTATAACAAGATGTTTGCGTTCTATTAATCTGATTTCTTTGATTTATGTGGCTGATAATTGTTGCAATTTGTCGTCTGCATCTTCTGTGGTGTAGTGCATTTAATATAGACTAACAGCACAGCTTTTCCGCTCCGGTACCTCCTCTGAACGTCTGACTCTCTCCATCTGTAGCGTGGCAAGAGGACATGGACAGGAAGTTGTCTCAGAACAGTCTCGGCGAGCAGGGCAGGCAGGGCAGCAAAACAGCACTGAACCGCCGGGTAAGACTTAGCCTCCAACACTCCCACCACTTCCCATCAGCACGATTTAAGATAGCCAGCTCAACGAAGGCCATATGGCTACTATTACCTCATTAGTAACTCATTAATAACTCATTTATAACGGCTTTAACCATGCTTATTCTCTCTAACAAGCTCTTTTACGCCTGTATGATTCATTTATTCACAGTTAGAAAGGACAGTTAGGAGTCAGGACCACGTCTTGTGTGTGTGTGTGTGTGTGTGTGTGTGTGTGTGTGTTTTGGAGGGGGGGTATTGTCAGAGACCCTGGATGCCGCCGAGGAGCGTCTGTAATTGATTTAATGTCTGTTTACTCTTCCCGCTGAGATGCCATTGCCTAATGACGGGGTGCAGCAGCAGTGGGTCTCCGTGACAAAGCACTGGCACGGAGGCAGGAGGCTAAGTGGCTCCTCTGCTTGCCCTGCGAGGGCTGTTTGTTTGCTTGGCTGATTTATCTGCCTCCTTTATTTGGCCCCTCTTTATTTCAGGGGCACGCTCCTCTTGTTTTGCCTCTGCTGTTTCTTGGCTGAGCATCCGGTTCGCCGTACCCCTGATCTGCACGTTTTGTTGTGGAAGTTGTTAAGCGGGTTTCGTGAGCTGCTCGTGGAAGACTCCAGTCATTAACAAAGAGAAATAGTAGGGCGGCTCTGAAAGTGTTGTGTCCTTTTCTTGGTTAATGTGATTATATCCCATTAAGCTGTGAGGTCAAACCGGTCTTTCTTGATGCACAAAGAGGATCTTCGATATAGTGGAGCCTAGGTTTGATACATTTAAGACTAATTTCATCATGCATATTTGTACATAAGTCTCCCCTCCATCATCCTGGATCAAAAAGGGACCACCTTATTGATGGCCATGTGTTCCAAGTAGCAGTCAAGTCACAAGTTCAGCATTAAAAACTTCAAAGTGGGCTTAAAGCTCTGACCCTCCGGTGTTCGTGTTCGGCATTGTGCTTGTAGTGAACCGGCTGAAGCTTTAAGAGAAGAGCAGACAATATCAGCCAGCCAGACCTCTTAGGACAAGTCAAACAGTCACGCACAACAAATTGCCCAGACACAACATTGAATCAGCAGCTCCAGACACAATCCACTGCAACTGCCATTTCACTGGTTCATTCTCAAACATCAGTTTTTATCAGGGTTCCCACTAGATGAAAATGATGCCATTGAAAATGTAAAAAGAAAATACCCCTGTAAGTCACTTTAAGGAGTCAAATGTCAGCTTGTATTAGAAAGGCTACTTTTTTATCAGAATTTGTGATTATTGATCAGAAGGTGCTCTTATTTATTTTTTTTAATTAGGAGGACAAGCGCTCCTAAAAAGAATATCAGCTTTTACCATGCTATTACAACATTTAACCACTTTTTATTAATTTAAAAATTGAGAAATTCTTTCAAATTTAAATCTTGTACAAGAACTACAGCACAAATCAGTTTGATGCATATTTTATCAATATTTTTGAAATTTTAATTTGAATATTACCAGTACTGACTTCAATGGATTTCATTAAATTCCTTTGAACACGACTGCTCAAAACGGTCTAAATTTATGAAACCTACACATTCAAAACTTTATTACTCTGAAATGTTTAATGTAAATGTTAAGTGTAAGTGAAATGTTAAGTAATGTAAGGTCTTTCATGACACTACATATGCTGGGGTGTGAATTTGATAGGTGCTTGATATAAAATAAATGGTGCTTGAAAAAGTCCTTGAATCTGGTGTTCATGCAAGAGTGGGAACCCTGTTTTATTAACTTTGTCATTTTCTGATGAGTGCTGATCCAACATTTCCATTTCCAACATGCACTCTCAAGTGAGAAATATGTAGCTCGACAATTTGACAGCACAAAGAAAGATGAAAATTAATTAAATTATTATTTATAATGATAATCATTATTATTCATAATGTATATTTATTTATTATTTAATTTTATACAATATATTTTTTATTTTATATAATAATAATAGTTGTAGTAGTAGTAGTAGTAGTAGTAATAATATTATATAATATTTGATCAATGTTATTATATTTTATGTGTTTTTATTGTATTTTACTTGTATTCATAGTTAATGCATATGTATTGCTGTGGTCAAATGATCATTACTTAATACATATTATTTTTATTATATTTTATTTCTATTAAACTAAAATATTTTTGTTATATTTTTTATATTTATTATAATATATAATACTTTAACACATTTGCATTCTCATAGTCATTATCATTATTTCATACATATTTTTATTGTATTTTAGCTCTATTATATTTTTGTATAATATATTTTATATTCATGGTTTTAATAATGCATACGTTTTTATTCTCGTTGGTTAAATTATTGCTGTTGTGGTCAAATTTAATGCTTCATATATCCACTAAAAATTATGTTGGGACCAGTAGGTTAAAAGTAATTTCAGGAAATGTTTGCCGTAAGTTTATCATTTGTTTGCAGATTCCATTTTGTCACAGTTGCTGAAAAAAAGTATGTAAAACATCTATAAATCACATACTTTTCTCTACAGCTGTATTTATGTAATTTGTATATGTAGCTTAAATGTCGAAATAGTTTCTGCGGCCACTGTTTGGCATTTATGATTTATACTGCACAATGATTGGAAGGTTGCATCTTAAGAGTATATGTATGTGCGTGTCTGTTAGCGAAAGAGAGAGACCGAACTGTGAAGAGAATGATTAGATCTTGTGGAAACACAATGTACTTGTAGTTGACAGGTACATGACAGTATACTAAATCAAAACATGCAGAAGAGGCCTACAGTTATCACACAGATGCTACAGGCCTCCTGACATTGAGTTGTCTGTATATTGGTGTGTAGGACACGTACCGCAGGAGACAGATGCAGCGCTCCGTCACGCGCCAGATGTCCTTTGACCTGACCAAGCTGCTGGTCACCGAAGACTGGTTCAGTGACATCAGCCCTCAGACGATGAGGAGACTGCTCAACATCGTGTCAGTCACAGGTCAGTGTGACCCAATTATACTTCCATACATTGGTTATTGATTGTGGCGTGTTAAAGACATGAGCAGTGAGTTTACAAATATATAACAGTAATGAAGTGTCTTTTGTTAGGTCGCCTACTTAGAGCCAATCAGATCATTTTTAACTGGGACCGACTAGCGTCCTGGATCAACCTGACAGAGGAGTGGCCGTACCGCACATCCTGGATCATTCTCTTCCTGGAGGAAACTGATGGAGTCTCAGACCAGGTCACACTGAGGACCATCTATGAGAGGTCAGCTTACACGTCCTCTGTACCTCACATCAAATGTTAAACATCATAACATACAAATAGTATAACTGGGAATTTGAATGAAAATGTATTTATTTATTTATTTATCACTTGTATTTATTTATTTACTTAATTACCTTATTTAGTTATTTCTCTTATTTCTTTATTTAGTTTTTTTGTTATTTATCTATATCTATATTTTTATTTAGTTATTTATCTATTATTAATTTTATTATTTCTTATTTTACTGTTATTAATTTTATTAGTATTTATGTATTAATTTATTTACTTAATTCTATTATTTAGTTATTTCTATTACTACTTTATTTAGTCTTTTGTTATTTACCTATGTTTTTTGTTCATTTTCTTGTTTAGTGTATTTATTTAGATCTTAATTTCTGATATTTCAGTTAGTTATTTCTCTAATTTATTTATTTTATTTGATTTATTATTCATTTTATTATTTCTTATTTTACCTTTAGTAATTTTATTATTATTTATTAATATTGTTTATTTATTTATATACTTCTGTATTTAGTTATTTCTTTTACTTCTTTATTTAGTTTTTGTTATTTATCTGTTTTTTTTTTCATTTTCTTTTTTTAGTGTATTTATTTAGATCTTAATTTCTATTATTTATTTATTTATTTATTTATTTTATATTTAGTTATTTATCTATTATTATTTTTATTATTTCTTATTTTACTGTTATTCCTTTTATTATTTATTTAGTTCTATTTATTTTAGTTCTGTTTCTTTATTAATTCCATGATTCATTTTGTTTAGTTTTTTAATTCCAAAATGATTATTATTGTTAATATTATTTTAGTCCTTGTGACTTTTTTTCTGTTGATGCATATGGCGCGAAAATGTATTTTGTTCTAGTTTGTTGTGCTTTCAATGTAATAATGCCTGCAACCTGCAGGTGGCAGTAGGAAATCTCTGTTCCTTCTATTTCACTTTTGGTCTGCAGCACAATTCCTATAAATCAGGATGTCTCATTGGGTATGATGTACCATGAAGTATTTCAAGCTTTGATCTTTCCTTTCATCCACTTACAGCAGGATTTTCATATATGAACAGCAAAACAAAAAGAATGCTGCTCAGTCGCTGCCTGACTAACAGACTGTCACTCTTTAATAATTGTCTTATTTACTTGTTGTCATCAAACATGCAACACACCATCACAGTTACATCTGCTGCATCCTCTCTAGAGGGTTTGACGAGTGTGTGTGTAGCTGCTGTAAGGGGAGATGTTGAGGCCGTTAGGTTTGCTGATGCTCAGTGTTTGGCCTTTAAAGGTTGCTCTGTCACACTGCACTAACATGCTGTGACTCCTGGGGCTGTAGAAGTGTCAGAGCATCTCAGTGTCAGCATCTGCTCTCTCTACCCATCGCTCTTTCTTTCCCAGCCCCCATGATGCCCTTTAGCGCTTCGTCTCACCCGTTTTTCTCCTCTTTCATACCCTGAAATACCCTTAATTTCCTCGTGTCCACACCAGCGCTGCATTTCGGTGCAGGTGGGTGGCAGTGAATCGTTCGCTGTGGATGTTAAAATAGAGGCCTGTCATGTTGTTCTGTTATCTGTCACAGATGTTGCTCAGATAAGAAACTGTCAAATCTACTGGTGCTTTTTTTCTTCCTTCTGTTGCACTCTCGAGGTCACGTGGCCATGCATTTGCTCGCTTTTTATAGAAATGAGGGTGAGTCACAGCGGCCGGCATAGTCCATTTTAGCAGCCGTTTCTCAATGATTAGCCATAAAGCTACAGTATATGTTGGTTCATTGTGAAGGGGTTTTAGGCCTGTTAGTCTCTTGACCAGAGCGATCTGAACGGGTCAGTATGTGGTCCACACTGATGTAAGAGCCAATCAGGAAGCTCCGTAGTGGCAGACGAGTGAGTTTCATAGGTCAGCTGTCGTTTTCAATCGAGTCACAAGGCCTAGGCTTGTGTTCTCGCTCTTGTGATAGTGTGTGAAGACCAATTGACTGATATAATTTGCTTAGGAAATGGACATACTGTGTGTGTATGAGAGTGTGTGTGGGTGTGTTGCCCGGTTTAGCTAGGTTTCCTTCTGCCTTTCTCTCAACACACACACACATTCCTAGAAGAGAGAAGTGGCGAAATCCCCTCTTTATAACATTGCTCCATGGTAGGTCATTATGAGGCTGAGCTCTCACAGTGCCTTTGTGTGTTTTCTGGTGTGTGTGTGTGTGTGTGTGTGTGTGTGTGTGTGTGTTTGTTTGTGACACATTTCATTCATACAGTTTGCACAACATAACCCTTAAAACCCACACCACAATGCGAGACACACCAAAAACTATTTGTGTGTCGTTGTAACTAAGAATTGGTCAGGATAGACGACTAGTAAGCTAGTTGATTATCGAGTTTGACTAGTTATCTATATTTTTCCTTCCTTCTTTGAGAATGTTTAGTGTACTAACAAGTTTGTTAGCACAGGAAAACCCTCTCAAGAGAAGATGCATCTGAAAATTCTTTTGATTTCCTTTAAAGCACTGTTAAAAATATGAAAGGGGTCATGAACGGCATTTTCCTTTTAATTTTGTAATGTTTTCTGCGGTCTACTTATAATGTTATTAAGATTTTTACATTAAAAACATCATGATTTATTAGTAATAGGCTTTTTCGATCCTGTTTAAGGATGCCAACTGCTATGATTGGATAACAGTTTTGGATATTAAAATAATAGATGGATGCTGCTGTGATTTATACTGAAAAAATATGTGTCATTTTGGTTAAAAACATAAATAATCCAGTATGAAATGACTAATTTTGGCAGCTTGGTTTCAATAAGAGCTGTTTTTGGACTAACAAGGAAGTTTTGAGTTATGAAATTCACAGGATATTTTTTTTTTTTTATAGTACAATGACCTCTTATATATCAAGAGATCAACTCATGACCCCTTTAAAGTATAATTTTGTCCTTTTTTTTTTTTTTATTGTTGATTGCTTTGTCACGCCTCACTCTTTATGCAGAATCTTACATGACGAGCAATGCATTTTAATCAATTTTTTTTATTTATTTTTTTGATAAAAATTGTTACAATTTCTAAAGTTTGTCCCAAGACATATGTATGAATATGCAAATATGTCTTGTGTAAACGCCCGCTAAAAAACTGTGCCTGGTGGACATGACCCTAAACCTAAAAAAATATGCAGTGCGTCTTTAAGACTAACAGGTTAAATGAACAATTTAGTAGTAGTTTTGTGCAATTTATATATATTGCACCTTGTATAGATTTAACTCAAAGTGCTTTAGATATTGGACAAGAAAAAAAATGTATAAAAAACAAATGCGAAAACATTAAAACTGTCAAATTGTGTAATATTATATACGCATTTGCATTTTTCAGGTGAGAGAAAATGAAAGCATTGCTCTGTACCTTTACATCTTCCAGTGAAACAAAATGTCATATTTGGGGACATTTTTGTGAGAGGAACTCTTAGTTATAGTAATAAATCTATTGCAATTTTAGTAATCTTAGTCTTAGTAATGCGATTTATTTGAGACTATGGTTATCGTAATACTAACTTTTCAGTAGTCAATGCCAATATCATGAAAATGTCATGACTCATGACTCCTATGATTTTTTTTTTGATGATACCTATTTTAAAAAAACTGTGTGCTTTTGAACTGTAGTATGTAACAACTCTGTAATATAATAAATCTATTGCAATTTTAGTAATCTTAGTCTTAGTAATGCGAGAGACTAGAGACTATGGTTATCGTAATACTAACTTTTCAGTAGTCAATGCCAATATCATGAAAATGTCATGACTCATGACTCCTATGATTTTTTTTTGATGATACCTATTTTAAAAAAACTGTGTGCTTTTGAACTGTAGTATGTAACAGCTCTGTAATATGGAAACAACTCTCCAGTTCCTCGGTGATCTGGCCCTTTAATCTGCACCAGAATGTGAATAATCTGTTAATAACATCAGCTTGTTTTATGATTAACATTTAGACAGGCTACAGTAATTCGACGAGCAGGCGAAACACAAGGATTTCTGTGTCCTTAAGGTACACTGGCTTATAACCACCAGGACACCAATGTTTGTACCTCTGCATTTTGAGTGAAACTACAAATTACTCTTAATCCACTCACCAAAAAGCCCAACATACCTAGACAAATTGAAAGAAAAATGCTCAGCCAATTCCCTTTCCGCCCGAATTCGACTCAAGTCATTCTCTGTTTCAGTGTAAAGGTTTTTTTTTAGACCAGTCTGGACTTAATGGTCTCCCTTCTAAAAGACCATGAGTCACGGTTGTTTTTGGTCTTTACGACCATTATTTCAGACCGAGAATGTCTTAGTTATAGTGAGACACATTTGGGCCATTTTACCATAAAAAGCAAACAGGCGGAAGTCCGAATGGAAAGCGAGTGAGCGAGAGAGATGTTGTGGTGGCTGATGGCCATGATCTGTAGTGGACTTTTTGAGCAGAGTCAGGTCCACCGGGAGTTTATTTATGGCACTTTGCTCCAGTTTTGTGGTTGTTACGAGGTGTGGCCCGCCGAGCCGGTTCTGCTCTGACATCTGGTGTCCCACTTGTGCCAGGATGGTATGACAGAACCTGAGTGGGTCGGGTACCATGCCCAGCCCGCTCTCCCCTTATCAGCCGGCTCTGGCCCGCTAACATATGTCCCCGCCTCCCCTACTCCGAGAGCGGCCTTTGTTAATTAACCCACCAGGAGAGTTGGCGTGGCGTGCTCCCAAAACGACCAATCGCTGGAGGGGTTCAATGTGAACGGGCAGGAAGGAGGACACGCCTCTTCACCTTTCGTCCACACCTCCCGCACCTCTCGGCGTCTTCTTGGCATGCCAACTCGGTGTGACATTCACCGGTGAAAGAAAAAGAACACGGAAGCCCTTCCGCTTTTTTCGAAAGGCTCGTCCCGCTCACAATGCTTCCTGTCACAATGCTCAGCTTATTCATTGAGGGAACAATCGGCTCTCAGTGCTGGGCTTCAAATCCAGGA